CTCTTAAAATTGGCTTCAGCTTCTAATTTTTCTGCCTCACTGTGTAAATCAGGATGAAATTTTTTTGCAAGTTTCCGGTATGCCTTTCCTATTTCTGCTTTAGGCGTCTCTCTTGTTACTCCCAAAACTGAAATTAGAATGATTTACAGTAATACGTAACACACAACTTGGTGCTAACAATAATAAAATCTATCTTAACACGTTGACCAGCATCAAGAACAACCCTTGGTATGTCAAGCAACAAGTCCTGTCTAGTTCTGCGCTCTCTCACGGCCAACCTCGCTTTCAGTTTTTCCTTAAAATATTGCGGTGCCTCCGTGATAAGTGTCTTGTGGACGATACAGGCAACCTGCTTATCACAGCTCTCCTGGACGGAAATTGTACCGGTATTCGACATCCTACGGAGACTTGTGATATGGTCATACTTTTTAAGGTTGTATACGAACCTTAGAGAGCAATTCTGTAGACTGTGTAGTATAGTGATCTGTTCCTGTGTTAAACTATATCCAAAAACAGGTAGGCAGTAATTTAAGGGAGGGAAAATCAGGAATTTGACAAAAAAACCAACCAAATCGTTTTTTCAGCCTCACAAAGAAAAGAAACATTAGAACTAAACATCCTAGTCGGAAACGAAAAAATAGAAAATCTAAAGCATACTAAATTTTTAGGGCTTTACGTAGACACAAATTTTAAATGGGATTATCATACACAATTCATAACACAAAAAATTTCTTCAGGGTTATATGTTTTGAGGCTACTATTATCACTATTACTATTGTCACTATTATGTAGCCTGGACACCCTAAAATCAATATATTTTGCGCATATTCATTCCCATCTGTCTTATGGTCTGGCAATCTAAGGAGGAACGTCCAAACAAAATTTAGATACAGTTCTGAAACTAAAAAAAGCTATAAGAATCATGCTATACTTGGACAAACGAATAACTGTGAAAGATAAATTTTCAAAACTACATATTTTGACTGTCTATGATCAGTATATACTAGAATGTGTTATGTGTGTCAAAAATCAACTACAAAATTTGGAAATTAGAAAAAATGTCCATTCATATGACACTAGAAATAAGATTGATATAAATTTATCAAAACATAACCTCAGCTTCTTTGAAAAAAAGGGAACCTTTATGGGATCAAAATTTTTAAACCATTTTCCTACGAAATTAAAAAGTAAAATAAACCAAAATAATTTAAAAAAACTAGTTAAGAATCATCTGTTGCAAACGAGTTATTATTCATTTGAAGAGTTTTTTCAATGTAAAAACGACTAAATAAATAAGGTTGAGGTGCTCTGATGGAAAAAAAATTAAAAATGAAACTGTATGCGGTTTCTACTTTTCTGTAAATCGAAATCAAAATGCATAAAAATTAGTTATAGTCTGACACTATTCATGTATGTATATACAATATGAATAAAGAATTTTTGATTTTATTTGATTTTATTTGGGAGCATAACCCTGAATCAAGAAGTTTATTCACCATTAAGTAATACATGATTACAATAGGCGTCATCAGTTATTCATTGAAAGACAGTACCAAGATAATAATAATAACAATAAAGTAAAATCAATATAGGCTAGATTAAAAATAGTAACAACAAAATAAATAAACAAGTCAATAAAACGTTTACAACAACAGCAACAAGACATTTGAATACACATAGTAAATAAAGGACCCAACACTATACTTTATATCACATTCTAAAAATTTGTTTATAGAAAAAAAAATTGGGGACTAATAAGCCAATCATGAATCTTATTTTTAAATCTAACAACTTAAATTATTCTAGAATTTTGTTACAAAATTGTATTTGTTGATATTTGTGACTCTTTGCATACTTTTCTAGTCTTGGGATTGGTAAAACTAATTTGTTTGAATTTCTTGTTTGATAATTATGAATGTCACTAAAACAATAAAAGTCTGTAATATTTTCCTTGACATAAATTAAATTCTAAAAAATAAAAATGCATAGTACAGTCATAATATTATGTGCAGAGAAATGACTCCTAGCGCTATCCCTAAACTCTAAACCAAACATGATTCTTATTGCTCTCTTCCCTGGCGGAAAAGAGGCAAGTTTTGGAAACCAAGGTGGCAGCTACACCACTAGACTTAGGGATTCGAATGATTTAAACTAGATAGGCCTAGGCCTACTTGTTTTAAAATAACAATTCTTATTGTTGAGACTATAAAAAAGCCTTGCTTGGACAGCAAATGGAACTCAGAATTTAATCAATCGGACATTCCTCAGAACTAACTGAAAAGTTGTATTAAATATGACATGTAACTTAGTTTTCTGATGCAAAGCTCAACCTCAGATAAATGGAGGAGCCAGAAGTTACAAAAGACAAATAATTTAAACGCTCCATTATCAATTATCAATTATCAATCATTAAGATGGGGACGCCACTAAAAGGAAATTAAGAATATCCAAAACCTTAAAAGTTGAAAGAATTCATTCCCGAATGTGTTATATTTTGTAGCAAAACAATTTAACAAACAACTGCTGTTTCAGAGGAATTTTGAAAGTAAGATTGACAGAAATAAACTCAAATGAGAAATGTTGACATTGGACAAACGGGTCATCCATGCCAAATAAATCAATTTTAACATATGAATTGAACCATAAACTCTCGATTTGGCTAACATTTATAACAGGTATAAGTTAGTACCCACCAACACTAACTTAGTTTGGATCTTAAAATGTTCTTACTTTCTGTTTTTTAGATTTGAGGATTCAAAAATAAAGAATGGCAATTTTTTAACTCTTAACAAGTGTTTACCAATTCCGTAGCTCAAAAGCCTTACCACCTAGTCTAAAAATCTATTCTCTGGATTTTAAAACCCTTGAAACTCAAAAACTAAGTCAGAACTATTAAATTTAAGATTTAAATTGTTAAAGTACTTAATAACAATTTCAGCCAAATAAAGTATGGAAGGTCAATTTCAAACTGTTACAGTAGTTGATTTAGCATGGAATGACCCAAACCAAGGTAAGTTATATCTTTGGAAAAATAGTGTAGGCCTAACCGTTGAGCAAATAATGAAAGAAACAATAGTAAAACTAATTAACACTAATACCAAAACCCTACCCAGGCTGGCGCTAACCAAAACCCCCGGTCTGTGAGACTCCATTTGAAAATAATGGACCCCGCATAGAAACACACAAACCCAAACCCAGGGCCTGTGAGACCCCGCTTAAAAATACACTAACGCTGGGCTTCTGAGACGGGCATGTTATGAACAGACAACCTGTCAAGGTCACGGCACCCACGCAAAATGAACAAACAGTAGGTATATCAACAGGTAGGGGAGGAAAAGGGGGGAAGGTATTGGGGGAATGGAATGTTGCCAACATGCGTTTATGAAAATTCCCCTGTGGCCGGTCGGACCGGGGTTTAGGCAAAATTGAACGTTAAACCAAGAAAGAAATGTATCTGGAAGTTGAAATAACGAGAAGGCTAAAGATGGTTGGACACACCTTGTTGAAGAAACAAGGAGATGTTTCCAAATAAGCCCTGAGATGGAACTCAGTTGGTTAAAGAAGAGTTGGAAGGCATAAGAATACTTTAAGAATGTCAAGAGGGAAGCGACCAATACTAGTGAGTTGGAGAGTGACAGAGGAGGCCCCACCTAACCCGGCTCCACGAGGAGTTTAAAAAGAATTAAGATAAGGTGACGCTGAAGATGAAGACACCATTCAAGCCTATGTTGCTACTTATGTTGGCAATTGAGGGACGTGTCCTAGCATGATAAGAAAAATAAGATTCGTTGATCTGGAAACACACGGGGACAGCTAACAATTATTGTGCATGTGGGGCTATTGGAATCAGTATTAACTAAACAAAGAGTTTAAAACTTATTGTAAAATAGGTACTTACCATCATAACAATTATCTCGACCACAGTAAAACCCTTCCAGCATAGTGTGAGCATTGTTCAGTGTAGGTGCTATTAGAAACAACAAAATAAAGTAAGTAAAACGATACATTTCTTCAATTATTGTTGAATGATTATTCCTGGATATTTAAAATATTTTAGATATGCAAAATCTAAGTAGGTTTTTTAAACATCCCATCACTATGTACTATTTTTCTTTCTTCATCTCTTAAACTTTAACTTCAGAGGGGACTGTTTAAACTATCTAAGAATGAAATAATTATTCGGTGTCTCAAATTAATAAAAATACATCATTTTGTATTCTTAAAGGGTAACTCAACACAACATTATTCCAGCTCAATGTTAGCTTAAAGTTCCACATTTCATTTGAGTCGACGTTGACGTTGACACTTGACACTTGGCTTGTAGTCAGTCTTCAGTCTTGTCTTGTAGACGAAATTGAGGTTACATTACAGTATACCGACACGGCTTCATTTCGTTTTACAACTGGAACAGACTAGAGACTACAGACAACGGACTAAAATATTTAAGCTTGTAATTGAGCGAAGAGTAAGCAATATATATTTCTATATATAAAAATTCATCTATTCAAGATTACTCCTAAGGCAAGGACACCTTTGTGCAGTTATATAGCTGGACAATTAAGAGGTCTCCAGTTCTATCCTTACATTGACTTTTTGAATCTAGTACAGCAGTAGTGATACTAGCAGTAGTGATACCAGTACAGCAGTAGTGATTTGAATATTACCATAGATAAAACATATGTATTATCTATGATATTACGTATGTTTTATCTATGATATTGCGTAACGTAGCACGGTCAACTTTAAAGGGGACCGTGAACGTAGTCTATTTTATTTTCATATCCACACCTGTAATTAGTCATTCGATTATTTAACTACCATTAAATGCTATTAATATTTTGTACATCTAGACTGTTATACGTATTAATTCAAACATAGTATATAATGGATTGTAATATTGGCATTGCCATAGATAAATAAATAAACGGTACTGTATCAGCATTCTGACACATACTTTCTCCCATAAGTTTGTCAACAACCTTTATCATGTGTAAGCGGTGAGAGTAAATATGCGGAAATGGGATTTGTACGATTTTCATACTTAATTTTTATCAAAATCGTTCGGGCCATTTTATGGAAAATCAGATTTTTCCGTTATTTTATGGGGTTTTATGGGAAAATCCCCATTAAAAATCAAAACTTCTAAAAAAAGTGAAAAAAACTATGGAAATGGTAAGGATCATAACATACTATGTTAAATCAAAACCGGATTTTTTTCGATAATCCTATTTTCCGTTATATTATGGGTTTTTTTTTATGGGAAAACGACATAATTTACAATAACTTTTGAACCGTAAGTTTTACAGAAATGGGGTTTGTACAATTTTGTTCAGAATTTAAAGGACTACAACATACTAAGTTTTTATCAAAATCGTTCGGGCCATTTTTGAACAAATTCGATTTTTCCGGTTTTTATGGGAAAATCCCTATTAAAAATCAAAATTTCAAAAAAATGAAAAAAAGCCTGGAGATACCATGGATTAGAACCTACATAGCAAATTTAATCGAAATCGGACCACAGGTGTAGTCCCTAGCTCTGAACACATCCAGACACACATACACAATCACACACACACACACAGACATGACTTCGAAAACCACTTTTTTGGGTCCAGGGGGACCCAAACCAATATATCCACTCAAAACTCAAACAGAATTCCACTCCTCGAAAATTTTGACGAAAACAATACTTTCTCCATATACTATGGTATAGGGGGAGAAAGAAAAAAGTACACGTTGAATACAAACGTAAATAGTGAAATATTAGCAGTAAATAGTCATTCTGTTGTAAATAGAGAAACAGAAGTATTGGACCTATTTTTGTGCTTCCATATTATTATTCGTAATTTTAATGCTTTGAGGGTTATGTCATGGCCGCCTTTAACTCCAGGCCGTGGCCTTCGAACGAAGTGGCAACATCGCAAGTGGTGTTGTAACAATTGTTTTGTTTGGAAGCAGCTAATGGTATTTGTGTATTTATGAAAGCTTGGTTACTGGTCTATGACAATATTGGCTCAGCTTAAAATGTAAGGATATAGATATTTTATTCATATTGTTTCGGTTTTCAATTCAGTATGTTTTATTTTCAATACCGTATTTTAATAAATTTATGTTCCTAAATTTAAATTTAAATAAATAAAGTGCGAATTAATGAGCTGATGTCACCTGTCTTCCATGTTATCTTATAGGACGTCTGTCACTAAACAACACCACTTGCGACGTTGCCAATTCTACCAGGCCGCGGCCTGTAGTTAAAGGTGGCCGTGGTTATTTGCATACTATTACATCCATCCATCTATGAATCTAAAGAATCCTGAAATGTAAAGAAAATATATAACACATCTCATTGAATATCTTTTTATCTTCTAGAATAACAGAATTACAAAATGTTTTACAACGAACGACAGCTGCATGGTATTTAAGATAATTGTACTTGAAATGAAATTAAATTAAATGAAAAGAAAAATCGTCTATTTTTTCAGGCAAAGTTAGGGCCACATGGCCCTTTCTTACACTTAAACCTGACATTCGTAATATATAGAAATAATACTGTAATACAGTGGGATAACTTAATTTAATCTAATTAATTAATCATAAACATATTTAACAATTTGAGTACATTTCTCAGAAAAACAGAAGAAAAAACATGCAAGTTTAACAAAAAAAAAACACACATTTACACTCTCTCGCATACATGCATCAGCAAACGCGCAAAGAAACAGCAGCCCAGGACACGCCAGCCGAGACCATCTTCTCAAAATAGAGTTTCTTCAGTGCCGAGAGGTACTTGGAGAGGTGCACTAAAAAAACTAATGTTAAAACTAATAAAACTTATGTGAATTAGAGACCGGGGTTTTAGCAGATTCATGACGGCATTATAGCATTATCAAAGATAATCCTCCCCTTCATTGTACTTGGAAAAAAAATTCAAATTTTATCCTATATGAGGGAAATAATAATTGCCTACAGTTTTCAAACTTCATTCTAAATATAGTCTCTTGAAACATGTAATACTATTCAATAGTAAACTCTAGCTTTACACAATTCTCGACAAGTTCCATAAATCTATGTGGTAGTATATTTAATCTATGATATCGTTCCTATTTAACGTTACAAAAGAGAAGTTGCATGTTACAACTATTTAGTCAAAATACCAATGCAAATATTCCAAAAAAAGGAGTGTGGCATGGCATTAGCCATAGCCCATAATAAACATCTGTTCTGTCTTCTGTCTGTCTGTCATGATAGTGAGTGACTGAGACTGACTGACTAGACTACTGACTACTCACTCAACCAATCAGAATCCAAAATCGTATCGTATCAAACGTGAACTACACGATTACGATTACATGAAGTAAAATTAATTTATTGTTCTGCTTGGTTAAAGTTTTACATAAAAAAATTACACTATGCAGGTAAATTAAATGTACTACCATTGGAATTTTTATTTGTATAAGATCATCCCTTATGGGATATATTATTATGCAACTAGAAACTTATTTCAGTAAATTTATGGTTCCTGTCTGTTTAGAGGGTAGGGCCTGTTTAATCAAACGCTGTAGGGGGGTATATGGTTAATCTTGATCTAAAATTACCCTTAAGTTTTGTAAATTTTCATTTAGAACCAAAGGAAAACTATTTTATAATTCATAGACATTTTTTATCAGGTTTCATATAGTCAAACTTTTAAATTTTAAGGTTAGTTTGTTGCTTGTCTCCCAGGGTACACCCACAACACAACCCTAGTATAGTTTAGCTTGAGAAAGTAACCAAAGAAAATTAGGATTTTAAAATTCATGCACATACTAGGCTCAATATTTGAGGTCATAGTTTTATCTGCTTTATAGACAGCAACCAATTGATCCAGCAGCTAGTTTAATCATAATCCTCGTGTAAAATTTATCTCATTCTCATTGAACAGATTTTATTTTAGATCATTTTTCTTTCGCAAAGGATGCGCATCCGGCAACCAAACATCGATTAGGCGTCCGGCAGTGACGTCACCGGGTTGTGGGGGCCCGGAACACCATTAACACAACGATACGGTGGAATGCCGTCGGGTGGCGTCGTCCTGTAATCCAGCAACTAAGTTAGGAGATCACGAATTGAGGATATTTATAGGCATGCACTGTGAATGTGATACTCCCTGGTGTGGATTAACGTCCGCACGAGTGAGTACTACAACTATCCGCAGTATTATCCTGATAATTCGACCAAATCGTATACACCAAGTCAAAAATGTGGTTCGGATTCCAATATTAACTGTATGGTAGGTCCCACTCCCATTAGCTGTAAGAGCTATTAATTTACAGCTGTGTCTATGGAATGTCGGCCTTAGTCACTAACAAGACTACAAGATCGCGCCACTCATCTCCATACATACTTGGCTTAAAATACCTACTTAGTATGGTCGCCACTTAATAAGAAAGTATTAAAGAAAATATTAAAGTGTTCGTGGTGTAGTGGATAGAGTACTCGGCTGACATTCAAGAGGTAAGCCTACTTAGATCGAATCCCCTCGGTACCACCAACTTTTTTTCAAAGATTTTGCTTAGAATGCCATTTCTTCTTATGAACATCTTCTGTTAGAATTTGAGGCATTTAAGTTATAATTTTACTTTATGAACAGAATTTAAATTTCATTCGATTTTTTTCATTATCAGCAAGTTTGGCTAGTTAGGTTAGATTATGACAGTAACTGCCGGACGTCTAATCCTTGTCCGGTTACCGGACACGTATCCTCTGCCTTTTTCTTTTTACAATGTCATGTTTGACCTCACTCATTACACTCGTACGAAGTCTAAGACAACATTATCTCACTTCATTCCATTCTTTTGCAGCAAACTTTCTATCAATTTTAAGTTTTTGCACAGTTAAAAAACATTACCTTGAGCTTTTACCTCATTATGCAGTAAGGATTGCCCACAAGCCATGTAGCCTATTTCAAACGGGAGTTTCAACTATGTTAGCCGTCACAACAACATCTGGACCCGCAAAACGTTCCTTAAACTTAATTTTTTTATAGGCTACTCAGATTATTTTCATGGTACTAAACTAACTTATTTTTATACAGTAACTATTTATCCTCGAAAAAAGAGCAGTTAGAGTCTTAGCGAAAGTGTCTCGAATTACTCACAGTAAAAAGTTTTTCATTCAGTTTAAAATTCTTACTTTGTATAGTTCTTATATCTTTAAACTGGCTTTAGTGGTTAAAAGTGATTTTGACGCATTCATGGAAGATCAACATGCGCATCCTCACAACACTAGATTTTAAAACAATATAAAACCAGTTCAACACAGACTTAAAGTATTCCATTTATCTCCTCAGTACATGGGCCCAAAAATATATAACAAATTACCTTCTTCAGTTAGGGACACTGATTCATTCCCTAAAGTCAAAAAGAAGTTAAAAAAACTTCCTTTTGGGGAAGGCCTTCTTCTCATTGGAGGAATAAGGTAAACTGTCCAAATACCGTGACCTTAAGGACGGTTCTCTTGAAATTGCCTTATAACGAATGAAATAACGACTTTTGGAACAAATATTTCTTACCAATATTAATGTGTACAATTTTCTCAACAAAATTATGGTTTCGGGTTGTATTATGACCAAAAAATGTATTTTTTACGTAATTTTTTATTTACACTCAATTTTCTTACTATTTCTCAATTCCGTGATTCATGGAAATAATTCTGTGATTTATCAGCCAAATTTTGTGATACTGGTACAGCAATTTTGGAGCTAGAAGTTCCTAAAATGACCATAAACTGCCTAATTTCATAAAAAAATTGGAAAATATAACCTCAAACACTTAATTGTACCAGCAGAAGACGATGACGAAGAGATGATGAAGAGTAAGAAGAAAGATCATGCACCACGTCCATAGAGGCTAAACTCCAATAAACATATTTTGTTGTTGCTCCAGTTTGATTTAGGCCTAATAAATTACTTTATCGAGATTGGAAAAGAAGTTATGTTAATGTTAACTAAATAATATAACAAAACAAAAGAAGCGTGTGTAAAAAAGAATTTATTAAGAAGACTACAATAAATTGGTTACCTAGTAACTTAAACAATAACTAAACAAATCTCAGACAAGACCAAACTAGGCTATATTGGATGAATAATTTCAAAATATTCAACAAGAAAATACATATTGACTCCACAATAGAAAGTATTGAACATGAAATGCATAGCCACCAGTGACTCATGTAGGAGGGAATTGGGGTATGAGCTGTGGTATGTTGGGCAGAATTTTTTATTTCAATATCTTGAGCATTGGTTGGTATGCCAGGAAGGGCATGTGACTCATGTTACAGGGAATTGGGTGTGAGCTCTGGTATGTTAGACATATTTTATTTTCACTTTCTTAAGTATTTGTTAGTATGCCACCAATGGCATGAGACTCATGTTGAGGGAATTGGGGTGTAGCATTCCAGCCCCGTCACCATTAAGCCCCCAGCATAGCAAGAGTGGCCCTGCCAATGCATCTTGGGAATAGGTCCGTTTAAGAGAGAAAACTTCTCACTTGGCATTCTGAAAACAAAACAAAAGGCTAAAATATAAATATCTTAGTTAAATGTCTAATCAACAGAGAGTAAAACTATAAACCCAAGAGGATCACAGTATTGAAAAAAAAACTATCGTTCTCTGCTAATTAATTTCTGTGGATGCGATTTTTCAACATTTAAATGCATTAAAATTCATAAAATGCCCATAAACTATAGTAGCCTACACCAATTTAAGAAAGAGAAAAATGAATAAATCTAGTTAAAAATTATTATTGAACTCTACAATTTAACTAAAAGTGTTTTAATTCACGTTTGCAACTTGTCTGTCTGTTAAATAGGCCTAGCCTAAGAATTGAGGTTGATTCATTTTAGTTGTACATATTTATTGGACAACCCAAATTAAAAACGGACTTTAGCAGTAAATTCAGCCCACTCAAAAGTACTCTATTATCATATTTAATAGTCTTATTTTATAAAATATTATTTTTTTTCGCTACGGTAACTTAAAAATATCATGTGCACTCTAAACACCGTGATCCTGTCACGGTATTTAGAAAATAACAATCTTACATTGTTAATCTCCGTGATGCAGTTTTGTAAAATATAATTTCAATGACCAGCTTAAAATAGTTTTATAACAAAACAGTAACACATATTAGTTAAAAATATACGTCTATTGTCTATGTAACATAAAAATATACTAAACTAAAGCTTATTCCACTCACCTCTTTCCTAGTTTGAATCTCTAAGAACCTTAAGGAAAACACCTGTTTCAAGAAACGTCAACATTCAAACTGATAAATTAGCCAGACGACATGGCACCAGCAGCCATCAAAGACATTTAACCCTTCCCGGACGGGCAAAATCATGACATAGGACGGAAAAAAATTAGAGGAAAATATAAAAATAAATTTTTCATATTTGTGTTTTGTTATACAAGTAACAAATATAAAAAAACAATAAAAAAGAATAAAAGAAACACAATGGACACACATTATACTGTCAAAATAATTTTTTTAATCCTTGTTAACTATGCGGATATATCCGCTACCCGTCCTCGGATGAGTAGAAATGCAGCGGATATATCCGCCACCCGTCTTTGAAGATATGACCATGACAACGTTAGGCAATAAATAAAGAACATTATGTAAACAATAAATAGAGACAACGTAATGTTGAGCGCGAAACGTCAAGGGGGGGAGCGTAGGAGTGGGGGTAGCGCGGTAGAGAGGGAGGAGTGCGGGGGAGAGCGCAGTCATGGAAAGAGCAGGATAGTGGCTCCTTGGAAAGGCGCCTTGGTTCCGCGAAACATCTGGTTACTGCTCAAGCACCTGCCAGTCTGTCTGATAAGAAGGCAGATATAACCGCTTCCCGTCCGGAGCATCAAAAACCATATGCGGATTATCCGTTACCCGTCCGGGAAGGGTTAAAATAAACTCCAAAAGTTGAATTTGTTTCTTATATAAAGATTAAACGTTTTTGACCAGCAATATTATTGTTATTGGCGAGAAAATACGAGAATCACGGTATTTGGGTGAGTCACGGTATTTGGGCAGTTTACCTTATATAGAAGCTGTGTAGATGTTATGGCTCAGCATATGAAATTTATTTTAGTAATAATTTTAGTATAATATAGACTATAAAATATTGTAACAATGACGAATCAATGATGTTATGTGATTATTGGAAAATAAATAAATAAACTTTAACAAAACCAGAGTCAAATTATTTTCAAAATACCAATCTGTGAATAGGCCCAGCTCAAACCTACAGATTTAAGTGAAGTAACAATTATTTTAGCACCTTCACCAGCATCACGAGGACAGTTGACGCAACTTGTGACAATAAGCATGATGTTTCTAGTAATGCTATCTATCTCCTAATCTAATCCTAATCCATCTCCTATCTCCTACTGTAACAAACATGTACTGCATGGTAAATCTGATACCGTACAGCAGTAAAAAAATCTGTGATAGGACATTTACCTATCTCCTAACAAACATGTACTGCACGGTAAACTTAAATGTGGAATGGTTTGTACATGGTACTATGCAGTCGTTGTAAAAACCTTTCTTAAAGCTCTTTTTAATGGAAGTCGAGAGAATTGGAAAAAAACATCAAAGTTATTTCAAACTTAAGTTTTTCATCATTTCCCCTCAGCTCAACTCTTATAGTGTATAAATAAATCACCTAGGTAACAGTGATCAACGTCACTTAAAAATGCAAGGCACACCCAATTTATTTGTATCAGAATTTTACGTTATATCTTCACCAAAATGTTGTTGGAATATTATGAGAGTTTTATGAATTTTTATGCTTAAATATGTTCGCATTTAAATCTTTTGTCATGAAGTCAATATTGAATATCAATGCAGTTGCTTATGAATTTGAAATTTATGAGGTTTAAGTTAAATTTTAGTAGTAAGTTTGATATAGGCCTAGTTCTTGATACAGTAGCCTATATAGAAAATGTCCTAGTAGTCATCCAGTATAACAGGGGTTCTCAACCTCTTTTGCTTTACGCCCCCCTTAGAATCCTGAATTTTTTTCTCGTCCCTCATTTCCTATCCACCATATTAGGCTCATATTATTTTATTGGAGCATTCTGTGTATTTTATTATTTCTACTCTATTTTCGATAAAGTATTATATTCAGGCTACATTTCAAGTTTTTAAATGCCTACAATCCCAAATTAACTTTTGATATTATTCTTGCTTTATTTTTCATTTTTGTAGTAGCATTCAAGCCCCCCTGAAATCCTTCCACCCCCCCCCCCCCAGGTTGAGAACCGCTACAGTATGATGTACTGTAGTTTGAAATCATCTGTGTTGAAATATTGTTAAAATGTGTTATCATCGTTGTTTCTATAGGTTCAGGCACTTTATGACTTCAATGGGGAGCCTGGATCAGCAGAACTATCAATCGTTACGGGAGAGATCCTGACGGTAACCAGAAAGGATGTAGGGGAAGGATGGTGGGAAGGGGTCAACCAGAAAGGCCAGACAGGACTTTTTCCAGCAGCCTATGTGGAGGTACTTTAAATATTGTTTTTAAAATATTTGTAGCAGGACTCAAAAGACAAAAACTCTTTCAAGTGCTTAATAAATTAATATTAAGATTAATAAATGGCCTGGTCTGAATTTAGTCATAGATTAGTATCTCTAACCTAGGCTGTAACCATAACAGGTTATGATAGGCCTAACATCTATTGTGTTTGATGGTAAAGTAGTGTAGAGCAGTGGTCTCCAACCTATGGCCCTCAAAAAGATTTTTTCCGGCTCACAAAGTCCTACTGAGATGAAAATATTTTCATATAATAGACCCTAGCATATACTAAACCGATTACCATCTACTGTGATTCAAGGAACCAATGTAAATCTTACATTTTCGGCAATACTGCCACTATCTCCTACGATCGTCGCAACACTCGTGACCCTCTCTCGTGGTCTCTGTGATGCTGAGATTGTCACCCATAGGATATGTGGTGCTGAAGCGTAACCCATCTTCTCCTTTGTTCCTGAGCCACAACTGACTGACATGCATATCCACTAGAGATTCCAAAGAAAGGCTGTTGTCCCACAAAGTCTGAGGCTAACGCCACATTCACCAACTTGTCAGCCACCTCGTTCCCTTCTATCCCGGAGCATCCAGGTACCCCTCAATGCGTTAACTGTGTTGCACCTGCCCTGGGCAGATACTGTTGCGAGGCAGTCCCCGACCACCTTGGACTAGAACTCGCAGGAGTCGAGTGCCTTGACCGCAGCCTCGATGACTGTTTGACTGTGAAAATAGAAATATTCATGTCCCTGAAGATCTGCTTCACGTTCTCCCTGGTAAACTCCATGATCACAGTTATCTCAACCTGGAACATACTTAGATGTGTTCCCTTGGGCAGACATAAGTCATGGGCCCCAGTGGGCCCATTCTGCACTCCGTGAATTCCAGCCCCTGTCCCACTTCTTGCCTTTGAACCGTTTAAGGTCACCCTGTGGAAGAGAATTCCCTCCCGACATCCACTTCTCTCTGGATGGAAGAATGGTCAATGGCTTGGCGAAGAAGAATATTGAAGATGTTGATATGGTTGCTGGGGATTCAGGTATGCTTTTGGAATGCTGGTAAATAATCACAAACATTACAGCGATCTCGAGGAATCATTACTAATGTTGCCACGATTGCAAGAGATAGGTGTTGACAATATCATTACAAATTGTTCCACATTGCAAAGATGATTTTGATGTGCAGCTATTCTGCCGATAACAATTTTGAGAATCGATTGAAATTTTAGAAACGATTAAAGACAAACAAAGATGTAAGAATTGATTTTTACAGTACATTATGAATAGTGATTTTAAAACTTGAACTTTGACTAAAGATTAGAGACTCAATTTTTAGGATTTGGATTCAACGATTCGAGATTGGTAATTCCTGAGTTTTAGCATTAGGCTACTAACGTACGAGGTGTGGCTAGAAAAAAACTGGACTAGTCCCGGTGCAACAATAAAACGAATGCAATAAGGCTGAAAGTCGCGTGGCCTGTCACGTGACTCTCGCCCCGCCTACTACTCGAGTTTCATCTGCCTTCTTTACTCAGTCTGCTCGTGGCGTCTGTTCTAAGTAGTTGTCGTTTTGTCTGTGCGTCGGAAAAATGTTGAGTATACAAAAAGAACAGCGTGTTAACATCAAATTTCTTTTCAAACTTGGAAAATCTGCAAGTGAAACGTTTGTAATGTTACAACAAGTGTACGGCGATGATTGTTTATCGCGAATACAAGTGTTTGAGTGGTTTAGGCGATTTAAAGATGGCCGCAAAGACACAAGTGATGACACTCGTACTGGCAGACCATTGTCAGCATAAACTGATGCAAACATTGAAAAAATCGGTAAACTTGTTCGACAAGATCGCCGTTTAACAATCAGAGCAATGTCTGAGTTGACAGGAATTGACAAGGAAAGTGTTAGGCAGATTCTTCATGAAAGTTTCAACATGAACAAAGTGTGTTCAAAAATGGTTCCAAAGTGTCTCACAATTGAACAGAAAGAACGCCGAAGAATGATTTGTTCTGACATCCTAGAAAACATTGAAAGTGATCCCACCTTCTTACAAAATGTTATTACTTGTGATGAATCGTGGTTTTTTACTTACGATCCCGAAACCAAACGCCAATCAATACATTGGAAATCTCCTGCTTCTCCACGACAAAAAAGCACGAATGTCAAAATCGAAATTCAAGGCAATGATGATTGTTTTTTTTTTTTTATATCAAAGGGATTGTGCACATTGATTGGGTACCAGAGGGACAAACAGTGAATCAGCATTACTACATTAGTGTCCTGACTACCCTACGTGAGCGAGTACGGAGAAAACGGAACCATTTGTGGAAAACAAAGTCATGGATCCTGCACCAAGACAATGCCCCAGCTCACAATGCGTTGTCAGTGAAGACGTTTTTAGCCAATCACAACATTCCCATCTTAGACCATCCACCCTACTCACCTGATTTGGCCCCCTGTGACTTCTTTCTTTTCCCTAAAGTCAAGTCAGCTTTGAAAGGAACTAGATTTGAGAGTGTTGAAGCAGTAAAAGAAAAAGCGACGGAAGTAATGTATGGACTTACTGAAAATGATCTGCAGCATTGCTATGAACAGTGGAAAATTCGCATGGAGCGGTGTAGAGACCAAGGAGGAGAGTACATTGAAAGAGATAACATCAAATTGTAAATAATTGTTAATACATTTTTTTTCAGCATCAGTCCGTTTTTTTTTTCTAGCCACACCTTGTATGTGGTCACAGCAATAGGTAAAAAAACCAAGATCAAATAGTTAGTCAATGTATAATCGTCTTAAAAATTATGTATAATAAATCTGTATGTACTACTGAATTTTCTAATTGTTGGATTTTTACAGGCCAATTTAAATGGTTTTTAATATTTCACCTAGTAGGGACAGAAAAGTTGGATTTTTTGGTGCAACACAGTTTGACCCGGGAAATTTGAATTTTGAACCAGAGAAAGTCCTTCAATTTAATTTCATGGGATGCTGGACACCCTTAATTTGGTCAAAAGGGTCTTTTGTGTCTCCTAGCCAATGTAGTGATGATTTAGCCAATTTTATTAACTGACTAAATAACTATTGATTTACTCGACACTAAACATTTTCAAAAATCTAAAGAGTTTATAACTCAAGAAACTGTAAATTTTTAGTTTTAACACAGCTTTATAGCCTACTTGAAAACTTTGAAAAAAATTTGGTCCGATTAAATAAATTACTATCTGCACACACAAATTACAGAACAAGCTACAAAGTACTATTTATTTAACAAACACTTCAAATACAAATCTTGACTTTGAATGTAAACATTGACACCAGAAGGCCATTCAATTGCTTCCTCACGCCAGAGATGTTTATTTGGAAGTGCCTTGTATATTTGTAAGATTAGATTTGGCTGATTAGTCATGGCTTATCAACTGATTTACATCTGTCTGTGACAAACTAAGTTAAATCTTTTTTTTTACTACAGTAGGCTATATAAAATAAAATTATTTTAATATGACAGTTACTACTTAAATAATTCAACGATTACAGTTCCTTAGTGACACGTTAGACAAGAAGTTAAAAAATATATTTAAACCTTTGAAATTGTGGATTGTACAATTGCATTATTCTACTTACCATTCTACCAGAAACAACTGGTGGAAAATTCAAAACTCTCCTAATGGTTTCACGGAAACTTTGAACTAAAAACAAAAAACTTAACATTTAGGAAATTTAATTTAAAATCGTATACTGAGCCAGGAGTGTGTACTACTTGTGAGTTGTGAGAATAAGTATATGTAAACATTATCTCTTTTACTTAGCTGGTATTATGTGATTAATGTATAACCAGTAGAATCCCTCATATGCTGCCACCAAGCCCCTGACTGGATAAACCAAGCTATTCAGAGACATATTTCCAAATAGGCGGACTAGGCAAAATTTTATGGGTTAAAAAATAAAAAAATAAGCTTTTAATCTAAAAAAAAAACAAACGTTTTAGCAAATTATTTTGGGAACGGCGAAACAGCCATTTGAAATAAGTATAAAATGATTTCAGAACGCATTAAAGTCAAACAAAAGTCAATAGTTTATTACACAGCTGTGCTGAGTTTTCCATGCTGTCCTATTCAGCGAGCAACGAATAGTATTCCTTGCTCGCTGGTCTTATTGGCCTGACGGACACGCGTGCCGTGGGAGCGGGTCGCCTGCCGCTGCAAAGTGGTGAACTAAGAAAACACTTCCCCCTGTTTACTTCATACGCACTACGCAGCGGCAGGGCTAGCTGGAAGGTAGAAAGATTTGACCAGAGAGAGACTGATCCTAATTTTTTTCACTGGGTGACAGACAAGTTAGTACCATTGTCTGCCGCTTGCAGCGCTTCTCTGTGTCTGGCTGTCTGCTGACTCTGGAGAGATGAGAGTGTTCAACTTCAATATTCAAGTGAAGAAGAAAGCGACGAATGACGATCTTTATTAAGAGTGTTCATCAGTGATAGCCATATTGGATTTTAGTCCCATAATAGCAATGTTAAATTTGACAGAATATACCATCATTTGAAGCAGTATGCCGGTGTTATTTATATAGATATAGTTATGAAAATTTATAATTAGGTTTATAACATAGAGTTAAGGAAATGATATTTAGAATATTTGTTTTTGTCTTTTCTAAAATTATTTAATTAAAGGCTTGATTAAGTTAATGACTATTAACTTATTAAGTGGAGGGAAAATGGCAAAACTAAAATCTTCACTCCCTAGAAGACCACTAAACCTTAGTTTTAACACCTAAATCATTATTTTATCACAACACGTTTTTTAGAAATTCTGTTACAAGATTAACATTGCTCTTACGGGACTAAAATCCAATATGGCTACCTCTGATGAAGACTCACGCAAAATTATCTAACCTTAATTGTAAAATATAATACTTGTGTGCAGTTGTGTCATAGTGGTAGGTAGTAAACATATTTGTTTTTATTTCAAAGCCAATAGCACATCTCTCAAGTGGATCTGACTAAAAGTGTTCAATGAAAAGCGTTATAAGAACCCTTGCATACAGACTGTTTTGTATGCCATTTCACGCCACAAAACGTGACTGTAATTGATAAATAATGGATAATAATGGATTAAAAACGTTGCATTCCGTGTATCCAAGTCAGAATCAAGTTTTGCATAAAAACTGCACACAAAAAATTTCCCTTAAAAGGGCTAAAAAAAGTTATTAAATTTGTTGATGCAGCATGCGATATTGCCGATTATTTTTCTACAAAATCAGCTGACAGGGTATGTATTGGCCATTGGGGTGATATTAGTGAGGTCGGGGAGTGCGCTGACAAGTTGTGGAGGGGGGGCAAACTTCATTGCCTAGAGGCGGCAGATACTTAAATACTTCCCTGAAGCTATTATAAAAATTATATCATATACTAATAAATAATGTTTAATTAATAAATGTACTCAAAAGTACTGTTTTTGAGTTTTTTTGTGATTAATTTTTAGAAAAATACACATGTTTGCAGTTTCACAGCACATTCTGTCAAAATGTTTAAATATCAGTAGATGGTTCCAAACACTGGATTTTGATAACAAAAACAGAATTTTTAGACCATATGCGGGATGAAACGGGATTTTTTCACTGAGTGATGCCTATTTATTTGTTATACCGCTTTTGACAAAAAACAAACCTTAATTGATTGTAATAAATTAATTGTTAATTGTTTTATAGAGTAATGTATTACTCTAGCACAGTATAATAAAAAATAGCAAGGTTTAAAGAGCCATTTAAACATGATTATTGGTTTTAATGTGGTAAAATATGCACCACCCCAGATTTCTATGCCATATTAAATGTTTGAATTGATGAATGCAAAATAAATTGATCTCAGAAGCTGATTTTCTTGACTCTTTATGCAAGATATTTGTTTTGGTCTTGTGGACACACTGGATTTCAAATAGCATAAAACTGGTATTAATTATGGAAGTAAAAATGTCTCTCAATAAATTGGCCATGAAGATCATTAGACCATAAAATAGTGTGTTGAATTATCAAATCACTGTACTAACCACCCTATAATTAAGCAACCAACTGTCCAGAGGTCAGGCTTACTAGCACTAGCTCAACTGAGTAGTCACACAGTAAAATGCCAGCAAACAGATAAATTTTACAAATCGCGAAGATTAGTGCTAGCAACTGCGTGTCTGTAAGCCATGAGATAAATATTTCGATATTGGCTTCCTAGAATTGGCTGGATAAACCGAGGACAGGTAAAATTGAAGCCGGATACTAGGGGTCTTACTTTACTGTTATATATTTTCATTTTCTTATTCAGCATAATATGGGGAATAACTTTTTTTCAAGTCTTTTTTTATTCATTTCACAGAATGCTTAAGTCCAATTTATCTAGCTTTATCTTTTAACTGAAAACCTTAACAGGTAATAATGGTGTTTGAACACTTTTTAGGAGGTAAAATCAAGTGTTCCTCCCGCCATGCCTCCTCCACCACTCCCAGAAACTTTTGCTGATGATTGGGGAAACCAGGCCTCTACAGAAAGTCAGGTAATGTTGTGAAGTGTATTATCACAATCAACAAGTATATTAATTCTCACCTTAGTAATGTTGTAATTAGTAGCTCCATGTTAATTGGTCTGTACGACAAAATCTGCACGGCTGATTTAAATCCTGTTTCACTGCAGAACACCTATAACAATACACACAGCTAACTACCATTTTGTCTCTTGTAACCTGTCTCTAATTCCACATCAAATTGTTTTATAAATATTGAAGATGTAAACACAGTACTTGGACTGATAAATGTGAACTGAGACTAAATCATGAAACTCAACTTTCTCATTCTCAACTTCGCATTTTAATTGGCATCAATCCAATCACAGTAAGTGGGAATGCTAAATAAAGAGGGTGCCATCACCAATCGTTCATTAGTTATGTCAGATTATGTATTTATTTATGGCTAGTGTTGGAGCAATTAAATATCTGAACAGCTAAACTACAGAGAATAACAATCCCTCTTTCATACTGTGAATATCAATCTCTATCTCTTTCTCTTTTTGTAACATCATTAAGTAGCCATAGGCCAGTCAGTCGGTTTTCAATCTTCTGCGTTTTGAGCCAGGGCTTTTAATGCTTTGGCCAGATATATTTGTCATCTACATCTACCTCACTATTTTCATGATGTTTAATTTTTTAATCAGACGTTTCCTGACATCTTGTGTGAGTATTTTACATGTTTTTATTTGATAATGGAGTGATAAAGCTCTGGAGCTCGTCATCTATCGTAATCAATGGATACACAGCCACAAGTAACTTTTTTAGCCTTTTTCAAATTCATTGAATCATATGATATACATGAGAAAGAAAGTGACACGAGTTATTTTCAGAGATATTTTAAAAATTTCAATTTAAACTACCTTTTTCATTGAATAAAAATATTTTACCTGAGACAACTGTTTTTTGACTAGCTGTATCAGTTCATTTCTTAGAATTGAAAAGATTTACTTAACAGTATTGTTTATTAAAATAACAGCATTTTTGTTTTACTTTACAACACGAGTTACGGACCAGTGAGTTCAAAGCTTGAGAGAAAAAAAGTCAAATTTTAATACTTCGAACGTCAACTTATCAGGTGTTGAGACCAATTTAATTGATTAAACAATGAGTGAGCTGTTGGGACAATAAGTCGTTGCATTACAATCAGTGGCAATGAGAGGTTATAATAAAAAACAAAACCCCTCTTGGAAGTTATGAGTAGTGATTTTTAGTAATTAAGTAATTTTCTACTTGTGTCGTTAAGACTATCATCTCCACGCGATCATTGCGTACACTACTATAGCAGTACCTCAAAAGAAAAGTATAATGTTATATTTAGTAGTATAGAATTTTTAAACCCCCATAATTTTTGTCACAGTATTATTCAAAACGTGTGAATAACATAAATAAATAAAAATTCCCTAATTGTTCCAACGTTTCTCAGTAGCCTATACATAGTTTTACAGAACAACTTTGTTCTTAGTTAATAGCAAAATATAAAATAACAACCACATTGAATATCAAACAAAATATAAAATAAACAACTAGACCATTGAAATAAGAACAAAGTATTGCAAAATTAAACCGAGCTCTTTGGTTTTAAAGCATATGTTTTACCAGAGAAAGTAGAGATTATGTATATCAGAATTTAAATATAACTTTCAAGTAGGCTATAATGAAATTCGAAATATAATTAAAATTAAATTAGGCACATAAGCACATTCACTTAAGCAAAGCTTGTAATTACATGAATCAATTATGCGATGGTCTTGCCCATTGGAATATAAAAAAAATTAACCGTCTCAATTACACAGTTACATAAAAGACAAATGTATTAAAAAAATTATAATAACAGTTCATATGAATAATAAATACTTCCACTCAATAAGGAGATTATTTTCAATTTACTTTTGTGGCTTTTCCACATTCCTTTACAGATTTATAATTAATCATGGTGTTTTTCAGAACTATGAGGTGATGGACTATTGGGAGGATGAGTGGGATGATGATTCAGAAGGGGGAGGGGGCCCACCTCCTGTCCCCCTACAGGACCGACCCCCCATGTTACCTGCCAAGTCTGGGAGTGTTGGTGATGACATGTCGTTAAGTAAGATCCAAAAGATACCTCAATTATTTATAGTGATCAATAGTCTCGATTACCCGACCGACCTTCAGTTATCCGACCTACCTTGTTATCCAACCCCCTGTACTTACTTACACATAATATATTGAGTCTAAAGGGTGCAGACACTATGTACACCAGAACGCTAACCACAACTAATAAGAACCACCTGTTGGAGAAAAAAGGTTATTGTATTTCAATTTTTAACAAAGCTATGTGCACTGAAATTCTAACCAGGATGTGCAGCTGAACAAAAAGCTGGAAATTGTACTAGAATTTTGATGAGAAGGAAAAAGTCAGCAAATTGTGATTTTTGTATAAAACTGGGTAATTTTGAATAATCGCCAGTAGCCTATGACCAAATACCATTGATTAACGGTGTTTTGGAGGTTCTCTTACAAGCTTGTCGTATACATGAATGTGATCGTGGTAGATAATCACTCATATTTCCTCAATGGTGGAAGACGATCACGATATAGCCGTAATCACCGGAGCAATAATATGTATGCAATGATGTAATTGATGTAATGGTTTATTGTACAAACTAACATTAGTTTGTAAAGTCAGTTGTTTCTTTTAGTGAATTGCACGAATACTTGTGTTTAATCATTTTAATGACCTTTTGTATGACATTTTACTGCATTTCTTGCTATTCTGAACAGTTTAGTAATCCAAACTGGGTCTGTTTCCTATTATTTTGGATCATCCTATTATGTGGTGTAGTTTCTAATTGTTTTAGTGCTATATAATGCAAATTTCAACAAAAAAAAATATGTATTATTTAATGCCTGTGGTGCAGCAGATGTTCGGATACGGTTCTGTACTCCAAGGAATTGGTCTCCTCTGATATTGAAAGTTTTGCTGTTATTTTTATGGATTGTCTTTTTGAGTCTCATGATGTTTTTACTTTTATCTATTAACATCAACATCTTTCATATTCAATTTGGCAATTCACTTATAATATCTGGTGTTCCAAGTATCATATACTGTTTTAAATCTGTTCACAGGTAAATCAACATTACCAAAAAGAAACTTAAATAGATTTTCCGTGTTTGTCAAATCTGGAGGAGAAAACTACATCCTAGGGACAGTAAAACTAAACGTCCCAGAGTCAGACAAAGTCCACATCCTCGAGGTTGAGCAAGGAGTTGTGATGTGGAATCCAATCCAAGACCCGTACCAAGTAATGGTGGCGTCTCCCAAGAAAGATAGTAAATTCAAAGGTCTCAAAAGCTTTATAGCTTACCAGCTAACTCCAACGGTAAGTAGTTGATCAACCCATTTGAAGATTTTTTTCTTTGAACTGTAAATCTAAGTACAGTAATATTAATATTATTGTTAATACCATAGGCCTATGTAGATTTTTTATACAACTGTCTTAGATTTTCATTTCATTAATCGAACAAACCATTCAAAAGTTACAGGCAAATTAATATATAAATTGTTAGCTTTCTGTAACCAATGTTTTATAGTTCAATTTAGTTTGGGATTTGATTGTGATGATACAGTAATTTCCCTCTTGTATGAATCTGTATGATTCAGACAGATATCTAAATATGACTCGCACACTTTGCTCATAGCCACAGTAACACGTCACAACCTATTCATCTAACTCTGCTCAATACATATTGAATTTTATTGATGATTGATGGTAGTACTGCACATAGAAAGTATGATTCTGAAACGTATCCAACATATTCTGTACTTTTGTTTCAACTCCCCGAGTTGTTCCAACAATAGGAAGTCTAATATGATCAAAAATTGGCCGATGGTTATGAGATTTCTGACTTCTGGAGCAGCCCAGGCCTTGAAGCACCACCTCGAATAGCTGCACGAACCACTGACAAGCTAGATCATGATGCGTAAAAATACAAGGCACTGATCAAGGTCACAAGGAGATTCAACAAACCATGTGTTGTGAGAACGAGGCTTAAGAGTGGGTGTTGGCTGGACGGGCTTGTTGTTTTTATTTAGCTGTACCCCAAAACCGGTGCTTTGTTACTTTTCTCTGAATGTATTCACCGAAAAAAGTTTTTAATAATTTCTTTCTTCACACAATGACAAAAGAATCTAATAAAAATAGGCACAATTAATTCACTGAACAATCTGCGAAGTTCAAATGGTTTACAACTGAGGAAAATATTCTTGAAATATAAATATGTGTACAACATTTTCCGCCATTTTATTCAATCCTGAAATGAAACATGTGTAACAATTAATAAATTAATTAATTGCATGAGTCTATATCGGAGTTATTAATGTTACAGTTCAATAATATTCAAGTATCTAGAAGATACAAGCATTTTGATTGGTTACACGAAAGGCTGGAAGAGAAGTTCAGTTTAATTCCAATACCACCATTACCAGATAAGCAGATTTCGGGTAAGTATTTGGTCTCTTATTTTTTTTCAGCAAGGATATACAGGGTGTCCCGTAAGTAAACAGCCAAACTCCGGGAAATGGTTCTATGGGTCAAGATAAAGACAAAATCAAGAATAAAATTTTTTACAAAATCGCTTCGTTAACCAGATATTTGCCATTTAGTTTTTTTCCAGTGTTGGGAAGTAGTGCGCTACAAGTAGCGACGCTACAGTAGCGCGCTACTTTTTTTGTAGCGTTAGCTGTAGCAACGCTACTTTTAAGATTTTGTAGTTTTAGCTGTAGCTAGCTACACTTTCAAAGTAGTTGTAGCGGAATTTTAGCTACTTTTCTCGCTACATTAACATTGATTGAGATAGTGATTTTTATCACAACCCTACGTGAAACAACCTCTATCAAACTGAGATTTTCAAGAAAATTAGGCCTACTTTCTTGGCTTTATACAGCTGGTCGCAGTCGTTTCATCTGAGTGTTATCCACATTTTTGGCTCTCATTTCCTTCATTTGCAACTCTATGATTACTGTCAGATAAAATAAATTCGCTAGATGCAGATGACATTTAAACGTTACCGGTGACTAGAGAAGCTATTGAATGCTTGCAAGGGATTGACGGAGAAATTATATAGTTATCAGTTTAATTTATTTAGTTATTTAGTTTCTTTATTAATCGATGGTTTCAACTTGGGTTTTAATGGAAACCATCCGTAAACCTTAAAGTAATGAGAAAGCTCTATCAACCTTTGCTTCAGCTGTTTATGGTGGTTCATGATCACAAGCCCTTCCTTGGTTGCATTACGAATTTTTCAAAGGTTTACTAAATTAACGAAGAGGAAATTACCTTATGAGATTTAAGATATGCCTGGACTACATAATAATTGTAACGAAAAAATCTCCATATAACATGAAACTTACAAAGAAAAAATAGCATAGTTTGCTCCTGCTAACACAGCTCTTGTCAAGGACTATTCCTAGGCTATGCTATTGGATTAATACGAATACAGAGTTCAATTAATAGGAATTAGCCAACAAGTTACAAAGCCAAATAGGCCTAAATGTTATTTTTACTTTACAATTTTCAACATGTTTAAATTAAAAAGCCTATTTCAGGATAAGTTGCTGAATACTGTTTTCTGCACCAACGTTTGTTGAAGCACAATTTGACCTATGCATAGTGACAAAGGACGATTTCTTGACATTGAAAAGTGTTATTCATAGAACTAGTAACATATCACTATGGTTAAAAGTGATAGCAATGTAGTTTTTAACATTAAAAATAAAGAAAGTCAATGAACTCCAATTTCAGTAGGCTCTGTAACACAAAAAAGTATTTTTAAATAATCGTTTTACAGTTTTATTGTTTTTAATAGTTGATAAAGAATTTATATTAAAGAAATAAAATGGGCTTTTAAAATATAGTTTGGTTTTATGTCCTTTGAACTTAATTTAAGATGCTTAAAAATAATGCAATATTTAAAAATAAGTACTAAATATGATGGAACACCCAACTAACTTATTTTTGTCGTGTTTTTGTAATGTTAGGTTTATGTAATTGCAATTAATTTACATTTACCTAATGTGCGTGGAATAAAAGTCATGTCTTAGGTAGGGGTGTGTGAGTACTCGAATCTTCGAGCTTTTCATTATTCGGCTCGGCTCGAGGCATTTTGAAAAAGCTCGAAGTTCGAGCCGAGCTTTTAATACTAAGTCAAAACACTTAATTTGGGTCATAATTGAAAACAATGTTATCACAATTCTACGTTGTTCACACATTCGAGGTTTGATAAGCACGAACCTCAGCTCAGTCAAGACGCAATGATTATCGATCGTAATTTTGAGGAGATAGGAAAGAGACAAACGACCACCTATCGCGTTGTCTTTCTAACAGCAATTCGTATCGTAATATGTGCAGATATAAAGTCAATGGTAATATACAACACAGTGCGAGTGCGTGATTGGCTTGTCGCTATGACGACACACGGGTGCCGTGACAACCTACAGTGCGCACTGAGCACTGCGACTGCGCCTTGTGTGGGAGGGGAGATTAAATCAACAAAAAATTTCAGGAATTCTATTTTGGGACGGATGGAAGATAAGGAAGAAACAAAAAGTAAGGAAGAAACAAAAAGTGGTCACGTGTGCAAATGTAGTGGGCGACACAATAAGGCTGTAAACGAGTATCGTCATGTCGTTGTTCCTTGTTTGTTTACTTTTTCAGATTCCTTATCAAACGCCCCTATCTGCTATCTCTCTTTCTCTCTCTCTCTCTCTAAAAATGTACTGATTAAACAGATTGTGGTTGAAGACTTTTCTACTTATAAGTTTCCCTGCAGTTATTTTAGTTCAATCAATCCTATAACCTTTCTAATGTTTATCAAAATAATTAATTATCTGTTTTGTATTTTATTTCCTTTAAACCAACCCCTATTTACCATATGTATTTTATAGAATAAAAAAATGTTTGTTTATAAAGTTTGACTGGCCACACAATTTTGTACCTTTTTTATTTTGTATAAAGTAACAGTTACCTTGATGATTATATGTATCAATAAGTGGTGCGTGCTGTAGTGAATGTTTTTTATTATCAAAATAAGTAATAAATTATTAATTTTTGATAATAATACATGGGTCATTGAATACCATAATGTGATGTAGTTTCCTATTTGTAACTTGTAAATAATAATAATTGATAGTTAATTCTGGAAAATTAAAAATAGTGATTGCATTCATAAACCTGTTGTCAAAACAGCAACACGGGTGTAAGGGTTTATTGTTTCATAGGGGTACAAAGGACGTGGGTGTTTCAAGGACAAAGTGTTGGGCCTCCCGGTTTAGGGGGGAGGGGTGGTGGTGAGACTGCAAGAAGGGGAGGAAACTGGTTTTGGCTATTTATTGATTAGTTCGCCGATCCTTCTAGATAACAAAATTGAGTGACAGTGTTAATTCATAGAGTTCTTTATTTCATTTCTTGTTTACTTTGTGTGTTATTCTATTAATTTTAGTGTTATGGTCTATTTCCTCCATATGTAAATTATATCTTTTTTAATATATAAGTTTACTTTTTACTTGTCTCTCCACCTTTTTGGATCCAAACCAACTATGTTCTTTTATGATTAATACGATTGATAAAACTAAAATATTTTGTGCATGGAAAACAACAAGAATAATCACGTGTTTTTAAATTTATTTTGTATTTATTTATACAAAATATAATTAAATATTCATAGTACTGTAGTTACAATATACATAATAATGTAATCGACTTGCTAGTTGTTTTGTCGTCATTTAAGGTCGCGTTGCTGTTCTGTTATGAAAGACAATCTGATTGTCTCAGTCTGCACTGCATATCTCGTCAGTCCTTCAATTATCCTTTTATTTCTTGCATCTTAATTTAGTTCGGTTCAGTTCTTATCGTGATTATCTACTACTAGCTGTTGTACCCGTGCTTTGCAACGGGATGAGGACACAAAATAGAAACATTTTAATCTTTACTTCTGTTGCATATAATAGTTACACATCCGCCAACGCTTTTAGGAACAAAATTCAACTTTTATGGCCTTAATAGAAACGTTTAAGTTATGACTTTTAAATCTGGTAAGTAGTGGATACCACCATTTTGGTTTTAATTAATTTTGAATCTTGTGTTGGCTGATATGAGAAAAACTGGCCAAATCTTTGAATAAAACTTTGACATACATGATTTACCTTCATCTCCCTTAGTTACATATTATCTTTTTATTTATTATTGACATTTTAAATTCCAATTTTGAAGTTGCAAAAATACTAATTATTAAATTTAAATGTTTTTTTTTTAATTTCACTCTTTTTCATAATAAATCACAAATGCTTCCATTTTCAGTTTCTTCTCTCACAATAAATCATTAGCAAAACTAAGTCAGCTGTTATCAACTTTAGAAATATTGCTGTGCCTTATCAATACGGTCTTTTGAAATATTAAAGAAACTATATCTATACTATAAAAAATGTTAAACAAATAATTTAGCATTAAAGACAGCAGAGAAAACTAATATGATTATCAAGGCATCAAGGACTAAAAAATGTAATAGCAAAAATATTAAAAATGTATATGTTTCATTGCATTTCTGATTCTACTCTACAAAAATATAAACATACAACTTAATATACAAACCAGTTATTTTAATCAGTTCCATTGTACATTGCCTTTACATTTTCCCACTTACCATTAAGTAAACATAGTAACAGATATTTCATTGATTTTAAAAACAAAAGAACACTGTGTGTACTGCTTAGTTTTATGATATTTTCCTTTGTTTAATTTAATCAGTGGTATTGAATGCAAAACACAAATAATAAATTTATCAAATAAAGTACGGGGTGACCCAAAAAAACAGGGACAATTTTAAAATGTTATTACTCAGCTGTTATAACAGATGGAGAGTTCGTTGTTGTGGCAAATGAATGTTTATTTGATGCCATTTGGTGTATAGTTACCATGGATCATCAATGGTTACCTCAACATCTTCCTTTTGCCATAGAGAATTTTTTCAAGTAATGTGTCCACCATTTCTACTCAGTTTTGTGTTCACTTCAATGTTGGGAGTAATGGTGACACCCCAAACAAAAAAAAAACTAGGTACTCAAAGATGGGTAAGCAATTTCCTGAGCACGGCTTCTGTACTCAAAATTAAACCTATGCAAATTTAAATTTAAATGCAATGTTCTGCAAACGGATGACTTAGGACGCTCGACGCAATTTAGGACACGCAGCACACTTTTGCGAACCATTTCCAATGTTTTCCGGCGTTCGATCAGTTCGAGGTCTCCCACTAGGTTTGACTTTGAGTGCAGAAGCCGTGTTCAGGAAATTGCTTACCCATCTTTGTGTAGTTTTTCCGTGTGGGGTTGCACCATTATACGGCCAACGTTGAAATGAACACGAAATTGATGTTAAGAAGTTAAAATTAAAAGTATCTAGGACAAAGAAAGGCACAATGTTGCGGTAACCGTTGATGATCCATAGTGAT